TAACGAGTGGCTAAATAAGATTTAAGTGATTATTATTAGCTTTTGACTAACAGAAACTTTTGTTGCGACCAATCTTATTTTCTGCAAAGATTCAGTGGAAAAATCCCAGGCCTTTAGGTCGGACTACAGAAATATGAAGCTCTCTATCGGTTGCATGCAAATAAACAGTAAGTGCCCACCCTATAAACACTGAGGTTTGATCTTCTGAAGAGATTGAGATAGATCACCATCTTACATTACTAGTGTATTGCTGAAACTAAGATAAATGTTTGACCTTTGAACAGTTAAAATTGAGTTGACAGTGTCACAAATCTTGATGTGTGTTAAATTATGCAGGAGATTTCAGAAGAAACGTATCAGTCTGGTCTACATAAACATGACCGGAATAATAGATGAAGGGCGCCTTATGGAGGAAAATGTATCATATACTATATGAGGTTCAGGTGTGTGTTTTTCCACAGATAAAAGCATTGATCTGTCTCCCTGTAGGTCTCCGACAGGACTACGCCTCTACCTCACACCCCCCCACAGCCAGCCGTCGCAACTCTGGCTTCACCTTACACACCCTCAGGCGCAGTGAGATGGATCTGGAGGAGGAGGAAGAGGAGGATGATGACGAGGACGAAGGATACGACCAGCTCCCTCCTCCCCAGCCTCGACTGTTCCGCACAGGGTCTATGCAGCGGGGCGGCCTGCCCCACTCTCACACCTTCTCCAGTATCAGAGACTGCAAACGCAGCTCAAACACACCTCAGTTTTCACTCAGCGGACTCTCACAATATCTTGGACCCTCCAGCCTGACCACAGAAAACCACACATTATACAGGAATAGCACAGGTGAGTGTTTCATGAATTTGTTGAGCACTAAATATCCTTAATGTCCCCTTTTTTTCTTAACACAATAACCAACATCCAAGATGCCCCATAGTTCTTACCACACAATTTCTGTGCCAAGAAAGATTTAGAGAGTTCTCTTGATTACAGGATTTAGTATGTCAGTGTACTTGCGACTGACGTATGAAACAGATTTGATTGTTATGTTGAAGAGCATAGAGATGAATGGAATAGCGAATTTTGAGAAGTTTGATACCACTCTCATTAATGTACACTGTCAGCAGCAGCTTGGTGGTGCTTAGCATAAAGACTGGCTAAACAGCTAGCTTTTCTCTTTCCAATGGTAACAAATCCAGGCTGTGTCTAGATGGTAAGCCTTGGTTCTAGGAAAATCTCTCGTAGTTTGTTGGGCAACGATTACCGCAAGAGTTTTTGCAAATCAAGGTTTACCATTTGGACCCAACTCAAAATCTGCCTCTAAAGCTCACTAACGAACACATTATATCTTATTCACATCAAAACAAAAGTTGTTAAAATGACAAAATGCATATGGGTGTTATGTTGAGAACTTTTTCTTGGCCAGAAGCAGTGACTTTATTTCCTCAAACTCTGAAAGTATTCCTTTGTTAGAATGATAGAAACATTTGTGCTGAGCTTCATATTGAGTCTACAACTTCGATACCTGATGTGGTTTGTTAATATGGTTGCATAGACAAGCTACGGAGAAGCATGCCCAACCTGCTCCGATCTCCCAGCATGCCCAGTGTTCCCAGCAGTCCATGCCTGGCTTCCCCTCTCAACCCACCCTCCCACGGCCCCTCCTCCCTGCCAATGATATCCTCCCTCCGGAGCAGCCAGAGCTTTGACTCGTCAAGTGGGCTTGCTCGACTCCAGTCCTCCAGTAAGGATATTTTCTTCAAGTCCATGAATAAATCAGCGCTGTGGCTAATTTGTATTCATGAGTGAATGTTGAGCGCATTGGCAATTTCACATGCAGTAATTGCATTTCTGTCACTGATGTATTTATCTAACGGCTCACTTGCTGTGTTTCAGTTCCCTCCCCAGGCCAGCTCACCCAGCGAGTCCAGAGCGTGGGGAACTTTCCAACCACTCCCCGAAACCCTGTAAAAGCCACAGCTTACGTAAGCCCCACGGTGCAGCAGTGCCCCCCCACCAGCTCCCTGCCCACCTCCACCAGTCTGCACTCCATCCCCAGCTGCACCGCGCTGCCTCAGCTCCTCAAACACAGCAGCAGTTTCGTACAACAACCTTTAAAAGCCAGCAGCAACCAGCCAGCTGTTATTCGCAGCTCCCTTCCTCGCCCAGCCTCCTTTGTAGGAGCAAGTGGAGTTCCACGCGCAAGCAAAATCACGCAACCCACGCGCAGGTAAGGCCAGATATAGAAAGAAAATTCAGTTTGATGTGATTGTTTCCATTTGTCTGAAGAATACTGTCTCATATGAATGTGAATCTTTGAATATGTGCACGTCTCCTGTAGGAAATGGCTTTTCCCTCTGTCCTGCATTATCATACAGAAAAATAACCTGGTTTTGGGTCATCCTCACACTGCTCCACTCCCCTCTCTCTCTCCTTGAATTTCACATGCATTAGTTCCCTGTTGTTGGCAGTGTTGCTGTGACTACTACGAGATACAGTATGTTGCTGTTCAAGTGTGCTGTCTGTAGTGTAAAACGTTATAAATCCTGCCATTCCTGCCATTACCGTGGATAAGCTGTGTACATGTAAAAACAATGTGGATGAGCTAAAGCACGGCATGGCAAAGTGGTGCTGTTCTTTATAAATGCAATGTTCACATCCTGCTTTTGTCCTTAGTTGGCAAGCTCCGTCTGGCTCAACCATTTGTAAACTGTTTGCTCTGTCCTTTCTTTTTTTATAGCATAAATGAAACGATAATAGAACGTTTTCAGAATCTGCCCTTCTGGTTTACAGAATAGGAGTTAACAGGGCAAACGTCAGGCAAAGGCTGTGATGTGTGATAATAGTCAAATAATGAATGAACTGTCAGAAGTTTGGTCCCTAGGATTTTTAGACTGTAGTAACGTTAATGGTCCAAAATGTTGTAAACGTGCAAAGTTTTCATCCAAAAACCTGCCAATGTTCTTTCAGCAGGACCCCAAACTCCCCCTCCTCCCATGCCCCAAGGGTTGCAATTCATATAAGCCCTCTAAAAACCCAGAGGGAAACCTGAGAATTTGTATTTGACAATTTTAAGTAACTATCAAATACAAAAAGTTGTTTAAATGAAGTACTCTTTAAACATTTACACTGTTTGTCCTGAAGGAGGTGCTATAGGTAAAGGTCAAACTTTCAAAGCCCAGCTAAATCAGTCTGTTTATGATACTTAAGTGGTTATTGCTTTTTATTGTATTAAAGTATTTAATCTAGATGTTTCTTTCTGTCCACAGTATGCTGACTCCTCCAAAGAGCGTGGCTGCCCTGAGTGCCCTGAGGGACAGCAGCTGGAAAGACGGCTGCTACTAAACTGAATAAACTGAAGTTCAAGAGGTGCACAGGGTAACGCTGCGTGGGACCCCAATGATTTAAGAGGATGCCTTTAAGAGGGCCCCGGTCTTGGGCTGTGACCCAAGAGAGAGTGACTGTTAACATTTCTAAAGGGCTCTACTCCTCACTGAAGGACGGAGTAGAGACTGTACGGGTCCAGCAGGCTGGATCTCTACATTACTACCTGCTGTAACACAGGCTGACACTACAAAACAACCTGGCAATATTCTGATACTCTGTTGTTAAATGTGAACTGGATCTTCTTTGATATGTGTTTTTTGATTTGTCATTGTGGATAATTAAGGCTTTCATACAAGAATGAAGAGTTCTTTGCAGTTAAAACATAGGAAAAAAAACAGCCCCAGCTTTTGTACATGCTATGAATGATTTTGTACGACTAATTTTGCAATTATTGATTTGTGTCAGTCTGTGGTGTCAGATTTGTAGTTGAACCTGGAATTTTGTTAAATCCTGTGCCTGTTAAAAAGTAATGTAATTCATGTTATATTTATTGGCTGGACCTTGCAGCACTTTTGATCATAATTATGATTAACACTTTAAGTAAAAAAGAATATGACCTAAGTTAGTGTACACGCGTTATCTTTCCTTTCTCTTATTGTTTACATGAGAGCTAAGATTTCTAATGTTCTTTGATAAACATAATTGCTGCAATGACATTGCACAAAGAGCCCTAATGCTTTTTCTGTATGACAAGACTTTAGAGAGGATGTGGATTTGTAATGTGAATAAAAGTCTTTTAAAATATTTGCTTTTATTTTCTAGTCTTGAATATTTACGTACGTAGGAGGAAAAATCATTTCTCAACCAGTTTAACATCAATTATATTGTTAATTAAGCGTGGACCAGGAAGAGCTGACATTATTCTGAAATATGATATGACAGTATTTTAAGTACGTGATATATTTACTTGGAAATTTAAAATGAACCGTTGATAAACTGTTAAAAAACACACTAATGGTTAAAAACATTGCTGTACATTTTCAGAAACATTACATTGTTCACTAGTTTAGTCTAACTTGGGCAATTTCTTTAACTTTTAGCTGAAGACCATCCACTCTAATCGTCCAAGTTGTAAAACAACAAAGACCTGAAGGTGAAATGCTTTGAGCAAACAGCATCAAGTCAACAAAGAAGTCCATATACTCTGAGTTATTTAAAATATAAAAGTGACGACTGCCCTCTAATTGTAGCACAGTTCATGTGTTTGTTTGTTTTTACGTTTATTGTCATTACATAGTACAGGTACTAGTAACGAAACAGTTTCTCTGCATTTGACCCATCCTAGTGTTAGGAGCAGTGGGCTGCCATTATTATGTATGGCGGTTTACCTGTAAGCATGGGGTAAGGGTTTAACTTGACAAGTGTTATCGTCACAAGGGAGCCAGAGTGACTAATGTTTAACAGAGGTGTGTGTTGATGATGAATCTCCCCAGTAACAAACCACGCTCACTTTTGGCATACTGTATTTCAGGTGAGTGAATACAATCTATATTCTGGGATTTGGAATTTAGGAAGGTCTATGTATGTTTATTATATAGAAATCAATGATAACTGCATTTTTTTACATTAGGTTTATGAGAACAGTTGCTTAGTGCACTGCTGATCTTTTGGAATTTGAAATAATGCCCAACAAAGCCCAAGAGGTATGTGTAATCTTTTTTATTATCACTTCCATATGACTTAGATCAGCATTTCTCTTGGATATCTTCATCTAAATCTCTTTATCTTTAAGTGACTTTGCATGTTGTTTTTCAGGATGCTGTGATTAACCTAAAGACACTGCAGGAGATTTCCAGTCTGCTCGGTTTTGAGTGGACAGTTTTGGCATATGAGCTTGGTTTCAACAGAACTGAGATCGGTCGATTTCACACCAAATCCACAGAGAAGAGTGTCCAGGCTAGGACCATGCTGGAGAGCTGGTACAGTGTGTGTGTGTGTGTGTGTGTGTGTGTGTGTGTGTGTGTGTGTGTGTGTGTGTGTGTGTGTGTGTGTGTGTGTGTGTGTGTGTGTGTGTGTGTGTGTGTGTGTGTGTGTGTGTGTGTGTGTGTGTGTGTGTGTGTGTGTGTGTGTGTGTGTGGTCTAGCATTACTATACTTGTGGGGACCTAAATCTGATTACATAGTCACGTGTGGGGACTGGCTTCCCTTATGGGGACAAATTGGAGGTCCCCATGAGGGGAATCATTAATTTTAGGGTGAAGACTTGGTTAGGTTTAGGATTAGGGTTAGGGTAAGGTTAAGGGTTAGGCATGTGTTGGTTATGGTTAAGGTTAGGATAAGTCTCCAGGAAATGCATGTAAGTCAATGTAATGTCCCCTGAAGTGATGTATACATGGTGTGTGTGTGTGTGTGTGTGTGTGTGTGTGTGTGTGTGTGTGTGTGTGTGTGTGTGTGTGTGTGTGTGTGTGTGTGTGTGTGTGTGTGTGTGTGTGTGTGTGTGTGTGTGTGTGTGTGTGTGTGTGTGTGTGTGTGTGTGTGTGACTTGATATTATGGTAAGATGTAGGCCCTGTTATTGTGCAGATACTATAATTACAGTATACCTGAATGGGGTTTTCCTCAGAATAACAAACAAACAATTGCCTTACTTATAGACTTCTTATACTACATTTATTAAGTTATGTGAGTCTTCTTGTGGTGTACTGGGCTTCACTGGTTTATAGACATTGCCTCCTTAATGCAACTCCTTTTCACTCCTGCTCCATTCCTTGGACTCAAATGCTTCTCACATGTCTATCTTCAGGTATGAAAAGTCATGGGACAAGCCCAATAAGACCAAGCTGCTGCAGGATGGACTAGAGCGAGCAGGCCGACGGGACCTGTCTGAAAGGCTGCGCTGCCTCCACTGGGGCCACCAGAAGCTGAGCCATAGGGTTGAGCTGCCCTCGGCCTTCCCCTTCCTCATCACTGTCCACAAGACCATCCACAACCAAGACGCACTGCGCAGGATCAACGACCTCAACCGTAGATAAACTTAAAGCTGGGTGAAAATGTGAAAAATGTGGCACTTTCTACATGGCGCACTGCAAATAAATGTACTGTGTCCTTGATCAAACAAGTGAGAAGCATGGGTCATGTATAAAATAATGCAACTTTCTATATTGGAATACATTAAAAGAGTTTCAATAAAGATGAAAAGTAAAATTAAAGGACTCATTTTTAAATCTTTGTAATCATTAAAAAATCACTTGTGCAACCCTTGTGTGTTGTTCGGGTCAAATTGACCCGATTTCCATTTTCAATGAATAAAAAAAGATATAAGGATATTTTCGTTCAACCTGAAACTCAATGGCCGGAGCTTATTTATTGTGAAGGACATGTGGAATTGTTTTTATTTTTTTTCCACTTATGAAAAAATGCCCACCCGCATTTATGTCCTTCATAAGAGGTTCGGGTCAATCTGACCCGGACAATACCAGGACAGAGAGATAGAGAAAATCACACATAAACACACAAACTAAAGACACACACACACAAACTAAAGACACACACACACACACGCACACAATTGTATGCATAGAAGCTGTTTGATCCTGTTTTCCCTTGATCTTTACCCTTTGTAGTGTGTACACAAAACTATCCTAGAACATTCTAAACATTTTAGATCTTCCAGAAATGTATAAACATTTAAAATGTTCTCGCACTGTCCCCCTCGCACCTGCACGCCGGAGGAGGGACTAAACAGAGACATAACCTCACATTACAGTGTAGTTCAGAACTACAATTATCTACCAGCAAAATGGCCAAAAGATATTCTGCTCAGAGCCTTGGAGCTAATAATGGATGAGAGTGAGTGGAATGCATTAGAAGAACACGGTGAAGTGGGACAGGAAGACATTTCTGAAGATGAGGATAATGTGGAGGTAAACTCAGAATTTGACAGCAAATTGGAAGATGAACTTGACTCAGAGCCAGCTGCTGGAAGACCCCCACAGCCAGCCGCAAGAAGACCCCCACAGTCAGCTTCTGGAAGACCCCCACAGCCAGCTGTGAGGTCTGTGGACCCTCAAAGGACTCAAAGACACAGACTACATGCAGCAACTGCAACAAGTACATCTGTGCTATACACACGAAGAAGTTCTGTACATCATGTGTTTCCTAAACGGACTTGCCCATTGACTCACATGATGTTCTGCAGCGTCACTTCATCAATATATTTTTCGGATATACTGTATTTTATGAATAGTGACTGTTAATTATTTTTATTTGCTTTGTGTTTATATCTGTTCTATGTCATTTATATGGATGTTTCATTCCCTCTATATTTCACAGCCAAATACTTTTGGATGTGTGGTTCTTGTGTTCCAATTGCTGATACATTGCTTTATTTCCTTCAGGGCTTTGATTATTATATGACGATTAAAAGATTAAAATAATAAACATTAATGAAAAAATATTTCATTTACATTTGTCCTAGAAAAGCATGAGCAAAATGTAAACCTAGTTTTTATTACAGTGTATTTTTTTTTAACATAAATTACATTTTTATCACAAAAAACGATGGACACTTCCATTGTTAAATTTGATCGAGTATTTGATCGAGTATTTTCAAAAACTAATCATATATTTCATTTATATTGTAGGGGAATGAGTTAAAGACAATATATATAAGGAATTGTGCATGTTGAATTTAGTTCTGTATTTTTTTTAAACCCTGAAATATGTCCCGGCCCGGGTCAATTTGACCCGAACATTACCAAAGGGTGCGAAATGTGAACATAACACAAGGGTTAAAGTCTTCAAATTGCTTGTTTATCTCATGAAATAAATGTTTTGTGATTATTTTATTTCCTGTAATGAAAGAAAAAGTCATGTAAATGACTGAGAATCTGAGATGCTGCAAGCAGGACATCTTTAAAATCATGTTGAAAAAATTGTTAGATTTATTTAATATTATTTGTACAAAATGAAGATTGCTGGCTGAATAAATAAAGTTTAGTATAAGCATTCGTGTACCCGTGTACCCCTAATCTCTTATTTTTGAATAAACCTCAATTTGACCCAGATACACAAACCAATCAGAGAGGCGAATGCTACCCTAGCAAGGTTGTGTGAGCCAGAGCGGAAGTCAAGTAAGAATGCCTTCAAATTAAGAGATTACATTTTTTTCATATTGAGTTAAAAATATATATTTAAGTAGTGAAGGGTGATAAACGTGAATATTGCCTATTAACTATTAGATAACTTATTAAATTGAATATAGAGTGAAACAAAAGGAAATATGTGTAACACTTGTACATGTAGCTGGGCTTTATTTTGACAACGTCTGCCGGAAATTGTAGTTTCCAATCCAAAAACCGTTTGACACTCAAAACAGTTGTCAGCATTTACCAGATAAATCAAAGAAAATAGACACTACTGCCAGTGACTCGGTACAATTGATGGATTATCGTACATTTAAATGCGATTTTAGGATTAGTTGGACATATTGACTTTCAGCTGGTAATGTATTTTTCACAGCATATGTTTGATTTTCCTCTATGAACGGATGTGTTATTATCAGCGGACGGCTATATCCATGAGCCTCTCCCGTTATCCGAATATGTCAAACGTATGACGGCGGTTTATTTGACACATCCGCCGACGTAAAATAGCCATACATTGCTCACTTAAGTTGCTGCAATGGCTATGGCGTTGAGTTTCTTCAGTGGTCCCGAGGTGCTCGAGGACGTGAATCACGCTCGGGGTTTGATGGACGAGTTGAAATTCCTGTATGACTGCCGCCTGCTCGGGGACGTTACTATCGGAGTGGAGAGTGAAGAGGAAGAGTCAACCGGAGAGGCAGCCAGGGGTGACATTGGACAACTTTTCCTGTGCAGCCGCAACGTCCTCGCAGCTGCCAGCCCTTACTTCAAGAGCATGTTCACCGGGGGGCTAAATGAAAGCATGCAGCAGAGAGTAGTCATCCGCGGGGTGGACTCTGAGTCCATGTCTGTTATCATCGACTACTGTTACACAGGCAGGGTGACCATCACGGAGAGCAACGTCCAGAGGCTGTACGCAGCATCAAACATGCTCCAGCTTGAGTACATCAGGAAGGCTTGCTCCAGCTTCATGACGAGGAGGCTGGACCTATCAAACTGTGTGGGGATTCTGAAATTTGCTGACTCTTATGACAATCCTGAATTGAAGGACACTGCTCAAGCCTTTATAGCAAGACATTTTAGCCAGGTGTGTAGTGGAGGGGAGCTCTGTGAGTTGGATTTGATACAACTGAAAGAGATATTGTCTCTGGACGCTTTGGATGTGGACTGTGAAAGGAAGGTCTGCTCGGCTGCTTTGCAGTGGATAGAGGACAATGCACCACAGAAAAGGGAGGATGCACTACAGGCATTGAAATGCGTACGCTGGAACTTGTTTAACGAGAAGGACAAGTGTTACTTGGAGGGTCTCATGGCCAGGCCTTTAATTGAGAAATACCTCGAAACCTTCTTTAACACGTCTGCAGAGGTCAGCTGTGCAATACCTGCAACTCTGGACATACCAAAACAGAGAATAGGTGTAAATGCAAAAGAAATGATCCTCTTTTTCGGCCTACCAAACGACAACATAATGTGCTGCGACCCTTACTCAGAGGACCTGTATTTCATGGCTCCTCCTTTAGAAGACCTCAGCAGTCAGGATTACAAACGCTCTACCATGGAGTCCTTAATCGCCTGTGCCACCCCTGACAACAACCTGTACCTAGCCTCCCACCTCTCCAAACACTTCTGGCTGTACAACCCTGTGATGAACAGCTGGCAGGAGTTAGCAGAGAGGCCGCTGGGGAGGATCCACTCTGGGATGGGCTACCTCAACGGCCATGTTTACCTCCTGGGAGGAAGAAACCCAGTGACGGATTCCCGACTGAAGGAGGTGGAGTGTTACAGCATCCAGAGGAACCAGTGGACATATGTGGCTCCTTTGCCTCATTCCTTAGGTAAAATGCAGGTGGTGGCACTAAACGATCAGCTGTATGTGGTGAACAAAAGGAGAATGCTTTGCTACGATCCCAGGAGGAACCGCTGGCGCCACTGTGGATCACTGAGGAGGGACAAGCTTCATAAGGCCTGCGTGTATCAGGACCAGATCATCTGTGTGTGTGACATCCCTGTGGTGAAAGCCTACAGCCCCACCCGAGGGGAATGGAAGAGGCTCGGGGACATTCCCATCGACAGTCGGGCCCTGAACTACCAGGTGATCCAGCACAACAACAAGCTGCTCCTCCTCACTCAGACGTTACTACAGCACAACAAAAACAGGGTCCTCATTCATGAGTACGACCCCGGCAGGGACAACTGGAAGAACATCATGGCGGTGTATGTGTCCACCCTGGGGCCCGTGTGTGTTTCTACACGCGTGTACCCAGCATGCCTAGGCTCTGCGCACAGCTTCTCTACAGAGGAGGACGATGACAGTGGCTCCAGTGCCGACTGGGACTTTGACGGTTTGACGGACGCAGACTCAGACTCTGGCAGCTCTAGCTCTTTCTCAGATGAGAACTGGTAGTTAAATATGTTACTGTGTCAATAAAAAGTTTTAATTATGTATCGCTTTGTGAATTTTTACAGGGTTCTGACTGCCAGAAAAAGCTCAGCGATTAATGAAGTATTAAAGCCAGCCATACAGTTGAAGAAGTCCATTGAAATCTTTATTTCACATGGACGGATAAAGATTATTTTTTAAAGAAAATAAACTTAGCAGAGTTTGTTTCAGAAATGCCAAGAGACAAGGCCTTTTTTGTTCAATTTCTATCATGTGCTGCCAGCACTAAGGTCTGCTATATTCTTGTTTACACAATTACTCTTGACTTGTATGTGATGGGAGTTCCCCTTAAGAGCCATACTTTAGCACATTCATAAGGGCAGCTGAATGAAAGTGACTCCAGAGATGTAGTGTTACCTTTCCATTACATTTGAACACTTTGCCTCTTAGGTCGTCCTACAATATCCATATTGCAGTGGTTTCCAAACAGCCTTTGGAAATAAACTACAATTTAATATACCTTTTTCATTGGTAAGAGTTTTACTTCCACTTGTCAAACATTTCTGTGAACAAGATCTCTTTTAAGAGTGCTTTGATTCTGCCGCAGAAAAGTAACTTACCAACAAGTACAAAATAATAGACTTGTGACGATCATTCAAATAAAAAATACAAAGACATCTATTCTGCTCTTGAGTTCACTGTCAATATAGCATGAAAATGTTGTGTTTTTATGTTACATCTCTGTCCGCTGCATTTGTTTTTATTTCTTTACGTGGGATATGGCAAAAAAAAAATCCCTCATGCAAGTTGCTTTATATTTGAAAATGCTCCTCCAGAGTTACAAAATAGTTTGTAGGTACAGTTTACACGGGCTGAGAAGTAATCCCTGAAATAAAATTCCCTTTAATGTGTTATATCACCACAGGGCCCCTTTAATGCTCTGACATTGTGTTATGTTGTATAAAGACAGAAATATAGATTTTATTTAACTTGAATAAATGAGCACACCTGCTGACGATTGCTGTCAAATCATGACTGTGACTTTTGGGACATCCGGTAGCTCAAGTGCCTCATGTTTCTATGACTACACAATATGAAGGGCTTTAACATGTGCTGTCCTTTTTTACCTTGTCGATGCACTCCAAGATGTCACACACAGCTGAGGTGTGTAGAAGCCAATGTACTGTAAGCTCACTCAGGTCTAGGCTCCAGCAAAAGCCTGTATGCCATGACATTTTTTTTTTAATGAAGTAAAATGATGTGATTTTTTGTGACAAATTATACATTTATGATTTTTAATTTTAATTATTTAATGAAGTTTATGTGTTTGCATATCTATGATTTAACATCTATGTTGTATTCGAAAAAGCCAAACTGTTTCACAAAGTGTTGAGTATTGTTTGGTCCTGATTCATTGTTTTAGTTTGAGGACATTTTGTCTGCATGTCGACTAATACACTGTTGCAAAGCCATCATCCGCCCTAACCATTCATACATTCAGTTACCAGTTTATTTATTTTGTATTTATTAGTTATGTTGAAGCAAATAGAAGGGTCTCTAATGAACTACTCTCATTGATATAAATGCTGTATACACATATTGAAATCACGTCTCAGTATATATCAAAATGCTACAAACTGCAGCCTCTTAATTTAACATAAAGTGTATTAAACCCCTTTATATCGATGAGTATGAGACTATTAGTTTCAGCTAGTTGTACCCAATAAACTGGTAAATAAGTGTAGTGTTGTCCCCCTGTATGATGCATAACTGAAGTGTTATATTTGAGTTGTGTTTGTGTCAGAGAGTTTATTGTATTGGACTCCAATAGTTGTACTGTAACTCAAAGAAGACAATATATAAATAATCATGTCAAAATACTTCACTTTTTATGTTGTGTAAAGTCATATCCACAGAACATGGTGATTTGCAAATACTTACCCTGTAAACACATACTTGATTTAACACAATATGATAGGCTAAAATGAAAAGTTATAAACGCTTATTCAGACTTCACTCAACATCAATAAAAAGAATATATGTTTGTGGATTGTCTTCTGTGTGTTACAACTAAAGTCAGTTAAGAAACGTCCATGAAGGGGGGATTGACTCCGTAACACATGGCCTGGATTATAAAGTTGTTTTTGGTGATTGTTTCAAAATAAATGTGACTGATGCAGAAGAGCATTTGTATGTGTATTCATTTTCCAAACCTTTAATAACTGGTTGTGTTTATAACACATAAAGCACAAAATACAAGATTTCATGATGAAATGATCTAGTAGTCACTGACAATTTTGTTTTGCTTTGTTTTAGGGGCGTGTTGATCAGTGTATTGTTATTCCTAATGGAATATTAGATTCAAAGGTTTTATAATATATATATATATATAAAGCCTATTTTTTAAATGTGCATTTTAAACAATACATCATGTAATTGTGATTAACAAGGATAATAAGATACTCTCATATAATGTAAGATACAAAATAAAACATTTATTCTCAATAAATACAAACAGTAATAAGTTAATAAAGCAGTTAACTTGTATCGTAAAATATCTTCTATACTGTTTTTATGAACATGTGTCTTTGTTATTGTTTGGTAAATCAAAGGAAAAAAAACGTGTTTTTTATTTAATTTACTCCATTTTTATTTATATGTTCCCAATGCAATACAAAAAAATACCATTATATCTTAAAATGTGTATGCTCTTATTTGATTGCTCTTGAATTAAGTCATGATTAATATGGTATGGTATATTAATGGTAAATGCTTGAACTAAATCAAATGTAATACAAGGTTTACTGTATAATGGTTACCGACAATCTCGCGATGTTTCAGACGCCGTTCAGATCAGACCGCGAGAAGATGAGCGATGGCAATAGAAACAAAACCTGAGGACGAATTTGACACTGTTTTTGATCAAAATGACTCGTTAGAGCTGTCTTCGAGCCACGATTATGGGAATGCACAAGCTCGGATATTCAAGATAATAGTCATAGGAGATTCAAATGTGGGAAAGACGTGTTTAACTTACCGATTCTGCGGGGGCACTTTCCTGAAAAACCCGGAGGCAACGATCGGGGTCGATTTTAGAGAGAGGACGCTGGTGCTTGATGGGGAGACTATCAAGGTGAGAGGACTCTAAAAAGCAACATACACTTTAATGTCATGCACACCTGCATTTCCAACGAGATTACCGCAGCCATCTGCCTGAGCTACGTACAGTTTATATAAATTGGCACAACCTGACGTGGAGGCTGTTTTCAGACATTCAAAGCCTGCATGGGGATAGAATAACACCCCTACAAAATATAGGCCTACCTTTACATTTACCAGCCGGTGTTTCCTCCATTTCTCAATTAAATACATAGTAGTTTATAGAACCATTAAAGAAAATATGTAAAAGGGGAACATGTCTACATCGATGTGGACTGTACCGACAGGATAATTTAATAATCCTGCAGAAAACACTATAATTTTCACACTGCATTTTTTTAAATAAAGATATGCAGAGACATCAATGGCTATTTTCTTTGTGATCAAATGTATTTTATTATTTTAACCGAAGAGATAGATATACTGTACAATCAGCATCAGGGCTGTGCATTTAATAATAATAAAGTCAATCAAACAAATAAGATACACCTATACACAGCCAACCCACAACCTGTGAAATAGAACATTAAAATAACACGTTATTATCTCAAGATAACCCCCTTATAATGTATCATGTCGTTTTCAAGGGGGCCCCAAAAAAACACTTTTTGTACTATTCAATAAACAGAATAGTACAAAAAGCATTAATATACAACACAACAAAGACGAAACTCCCAGCTAACTGTCAGATAACTGAATTACTATGCAAGTATGATTAGATTCCAAAGCATACACAATCAAAATGAAAAAGAGAAATTATCAACATTTGTAATATTTTCTTGGGATTGGTTGGAAAATATAGATTTACTCTCACCTTCAATTATGTCTTTTTCACATGCATTATCTGCTTGTGCTGTACCAGTTGCAGATCTGGGACACGGCAGGTCAGGAGCGTTTCAGGAGGAGCATGGTGGAGCACTATTACCGCAGCGTCCATGCCGTCATCTTCGTGTACGACGTGACCAGCCTCTGCTCCTTCGAGAGCATCCCCGAGTGGATCGAGGAGTGCAGCCGACACTGTGTGGGGCCCCTGGTGCCCCGCATCATGGTGGGCAACAAGTGTGACCTGAGGGACCGCCGGGAGGTCCCCACCACCGCCGCCCAGTGTCTCGCCGACAGCTACAACTTCCCATTGTTTGAAACTTCAGCCAAGGATCCTGCTGAGAAGGAACATGTTGACGCCATCTTTCTGACTTTGGCTTATAGACTGAAGAGCCACAAACCCCTGAGACTGAAGCAGCCCAGTGAGAGCAATATCAGGCAGCTGTGGAACCAGAAAGAGCAGGAAGCATCAACTTGTCAATGCTAAGGTCCTGTATCGATGGAGTGAGCGGGTCATCAGGATACGTTTGCTGAGAAAGAGTCTTTTATGATCCTTAGGTTAAAAAGGAAGATATGTACCATGGTTTTCCACTTTCCCTGCCTGATACAAGTCATAGCTAGTGACAATATAGGCCTATATGTTTGCACACTTTTAAATCAACATTTCAATGAAATGCATGAATGGAAATGGAGGTTAGCCAAGCATTTGTAGCTCAAATTACAATTGAAATCCCTTCATGGAACAGTGCATTGCGGAAAGCACTTTAATACGTAGACATATGCAAACGGCCGTCTGGTAGCACCGCATTTTATCTACACTATCCAAAGCTGACAATAAATTAAGGGATAGCATGATTTCAATGCAAGTATAAGGACCAATAAGGTACATTGAAACTGTGGGGAAAACCACATATCGTTTTATTTATTTAAGTTGTGTTTCAAACTGATATTTGAAAGTTGCAGCATGAGTTTTGGTGCTGATGTTTTGAGTGTGTATTTAGCAAATATAAATATGAACGTAACCAGCCTTGTGTCAGCAAAGAGAGCTCACCAATGATGAAATGTAGCCATCTTATGGGACAAAATGCAAATCCACATAAATCACTTGAAAAGCATGAGTGAATACATGCACAGCTGTCTTTTAACATCATTATGCCAGAAGGTATTGAAGATAGGCGATCAAATCACAATTGACTGATACTTGTGTGGCATGTGAACAAAAATGCACTTTCCAATTGAAATACAATAAGCTGCACATCAATAAAAGTGGTTTTATTGAGGTTTCTGGTTCGTTGGTAATGATGTAAACTGCAATCTGAGGTTGTACTTATAAATACACATACACATGATCAAGGTATAATAATATATTGTATTGGTTGGTGATAAGCCCTGAAAAGCAGTGTATTTTTATCTATTCACAAAACAGGGAAGATTGAAGTCAAATTAATTGAAAATCACACTTTTGCGCCAGGGATCTTTACTATCTGTAGAGCATAGGACAGCCTCTGTCCTTTTCACCCTGGCTTTTGACAACTACCCAAACCAAAACCCCTTTATAAAACACACAATTATATTTATTAAGGCAAACTCTACATTCTGATGATTACCGTATAATATGATTAAAAGCTCTAAATCAGGATTTCATTGACATTTTAGGAGATGTTCTGCTTCATTCTAGTTTGCTGTATTTGATAGTATTTTTGCGACTTGCGGACAATTTTTGCATAGCAGCAACTGGGATGTGTTCGAGAAGGCCTGTAAACTAGCATGTTGTTCAAAGTGTTTGTCGCCAGCTGTTAATGTTATATGTGAAACATAAACAGAAATGCAACTTCCGAAACGAGTTCAGGATTTCTACAGGTATTTGACAGCGAGACTTTGCTCTACCTCTCCACCGGCTCTGTTTAAGGTTATTGAGCGTGATCAGTGATTACTTGGTAGAGTTGTCATATTAACCAGCTTTTCGAGAGGTCCATGAGTGCAACCTACAAACCGAGCCGCCTGTATTCTTCTCGTCTCTCCATGGTAACACTTTCCTCAACACTGGTCCTTTGACTCAAAGAAACTACACAAACAGGTGCTTTTTTCATGCAGGTAAGAGACGTATGTTCATGCTTAATATGCATTTAAATAAGATACTTTAGGTTTGTGTTGTCTACATGCATATTTAACCGATACTGTGAGGATTAAGTAGCATTTGCCCCATTTACTGCAACACGATTCGGTTTGTTTGTCTGTGGCCTAGCAGCAAGCTAACCCAAGCTAACGTCGACATTGTGACAGGGTGTAGACAGGAAAACAGGCTTATGTGAATTAAGCCTTAATTTAAATGTAATGTGAACTGTCTCCGATTAAAATATTGACATCAGCTAATGTTAGCTTAACTCACATGCTTTGCCGGGTATATGCTAGCATTGTTGTGTTATATCTGATGGGCATCTGAGCTGCACCCTCCTGTACATATTAGGATTTATATTGAGGATACCGAGTTCGTTGATAAAATGTGGTTTTTACATACTTTAAAACGTTGTTACTAGCCACCATTAGCAGTAGTGGAAGAAGTACTCATATCCTGTACAAGTAATAATACCACATTGTAGAAATACTCTAATACAAGTAAAAGTCACACATTCAAAATGTTGCCTAACTAAAAGTACATAAGTATTAGCGTCAACATATCCTTAAAGAGCAAAAAGTACTCATTATGCAGAATGGCTAATTCCAAAATGGTATATATTATATTGTTGATTATGTTTGATGAAGCTGATTAAAGTGGAGACAATCTAATTACTTATATATTAACGGTAGATTGTGAATTCATTCCATCTATTTAAAGGTGGGGTAGGTACGTTTCAGAAACCGGCTCGAGTGCACTACAATTTGAAAGTACACAGCCGAAAAGAATCCGCCCCTTCCTTCAGACTTCCTTACAGAGCACCTCCTCCAACACACATGAACGCGCAATGTACGCCCAATTACGGCACGCCCAATGAGGGCACGAGATACATTTGTGCATGCACGAGATGGAAGGCTGACAGACAGGGCGGCAATCCAATCCGTTTAGCCGGGCCGGCTAAACGGATTGGTTGTGCTTTTTACAGTATTACGGCTTCCACAGATTACATTTTTTTATGGATTTTTTGTCAAAGCACTTAAGATATTCATTGCTATCGGGATGTTAAGAGCATTCCATGGAATATAACAAAAAGTGTATCTCAAGCCGGTTTCTCAAACTTACCTACCCCACCTTTAAGTCTTTTTATGTGTTGATTATTTTTTATACCGTTAATGCAAAGTAACTAAAGCGTTAAATAAATGTAGTAGAGTGAACGTAACAAATGTACCTTTGAACTGTAGTAGAGTAAAGTATAAGTCTCTCAACATTGTGCTTAAGTCTGGTACTTAAGTCGAATGTGCTTAGTTACTGTTCACCACTGACCATTAGCTATTATTAATTTCTCAGTTCTGAAACAAAGTATGATTCTAGCTTCTTTTCCCCCTCCCTATATAGCTGTTATTCAGCATGAATTTGGCAGATATATGTGACAACGCCAAGAAGGGCCGTGAGTATGCTTTGCTGGGGAACTACGACTCCTCCATTGTGTACTACCAGGGCGTCATTCAACAGATCCACAAACACTGTCAGTCCCTCAGAGACCCTGCACTCAAAGCCAAATGGCTACAGGTGAGTGTCTTTAACCCCCTGAACATATCATCATTACACCTGGTAATAAACTATCATTACAGATATTCTGTGATGCAATGCTTAATACAATACTCTTCTTCTTCTGTCTCTGAGCAGGTCAGGCAGGAACTGCATGAGGAGTACGAGCAGGTGAAAGACATCATGGGAACACTTGAAGGCTTTAGGTCAGAGAAGCCAGCTGACGTCCTCGCCCCTCAATCCGGGGAGAGACCTGAGGATCCAGCAGTGTGGCCCCCTCCCACCCCTGCAGAACACAGGTGTGTGTGTTTGGATGTTACATCTATCACATAAAGCCTTTGTGTGCTTCATGTGGAGTCGATCGCTACAATAAGAGATTTCATGGTGCTTTTCTAAATCGCTTTTGAATTTAGCACTGGGAACAAGATCGTAGTGTGTGCCTGTGTGCCTGGCTTTGGTTATTTTTTTTAGCCACCTGCTCTGGCTCGGCTGTAGCTCACTTCTTTACCTCCTGGCAGAATTGATTGTAATTGATAATGCCAACAATGTCAGGAGAACAAAATGCCACTATAAGGAAGTGCTTTGAAGTACAAAGAGACCTATTTTGCATAATCTGTTTCAGGTCTACCATCACTGTGTGACTCATGTTTTACCTTATGGTCATTCAATTGGACATAGCAAGCTCTACCTCCACATAGAACTAGCAAAGCTGGTTAAAAGTCAATATCCATCTGTGGCAATATTTGAAAACTATGTTAATACCACTACGGTATTTCCTTATTGAAAATTATCTTTGATGTTTCAGCCTGCATGTGCGTCCTACTATTACTTATGTATAGTTTCTTCATGTGTGTGTGCCTGTAGGAATCCCGTTGCAGTGAAGCGCCCCAATAGTGCAGCGAAGCAGCATAGAAAGGAGTCCCCTGGCCTGCAGCATCGAGGGGCCGGGCCTGGGGGCCGCAACCCTAAAGCAGAGCGCCCAGGAGCCAGAGAACCCCGGGGCGCAAAGGCAAAAGACGATAAGGTCAGACATCAGAGGTCCATTAGTATTTCAGTCGCACTTTTTTTAGCTCTGTGGCTGGTCCTGCGACTTATACTCCGAAGGGACTTATATATTGTATTTTGTCTGACTGCGTTCAAACTACGGCCAAGAGATGGCACTGTATGCAATCGTGACAACTGAAAACTGCTGTACCACCGAAGTCACGGCAACCGGGAGGATGCGTAACGTAACTTTCCAGGATGTTGTGGGATGGATTGACACAGCATGGCTTCAGTCCGACACTATCCTGTTGGGATTCAGAAAGGCCTGTCTAATCGGAGCTGATTCTGATGTTGAATCTGACGACAGCCCGGAGCAGGACATGCTGCTTCATGGACACCTCTGTGTAGGATGAAGACTTCAGTGAATAAATGCGACTTATACACCGAAGCGACTTATATATGTTTTTTTTCTCTTAACGACACACTTTTTTGATAAGAGCGACTTATAGTCCGGAGAATACGGTTGATGTATCAAAGTTTCAAAATATCTAAACTACTGACCACTTTCCAAAAGAGGGAAATATATATTTTTGATCTTGGATTGAACTGTCTAGAAATTAGTAAATCTGTCCTAAACTAAAACTAAACAATTTTTCCTCCTTTTTCTTCATCAGGGGAAGAGAGGGGTTGGAGAAGCACCAGGAGATGTAGAGCATAAGAGATTTGATGGCACGGGATATGACAGCGACCTGGTGGACTCACTGGAGAGAGACATTGTGTCCCGTAACCCAAACGTACACTGGTATGTGGAAAACACAGATTCTTTCATACTCGTTCATACATTTTACTGTCAGGGAAAATAGCATTTTTTTACTGATGACTGATTTCTCTGGATGAACTGTAGGGAAGACATCGCTGATCTGGAAGATGCTAAGAAGCTGCTGAGAGAGGCGGTGGTGCTGCCCATGTGGATGCCTGACTTCTTTAAGGGAATACGTCGCCCCTGGAAGGTACAAACACACGCACTTCACATATCAAAAGTGCTAAATCAAAGTACTATCTGTCAGTAACCACAAAGAATCTGAATAATCCTGGAAAATGTTGGAAAGCCATTCAATCCTTATCCACCGGCGATATCCGTAATGAGCTACCTCCGTGCATTACCACAGCATCTGGCACTATATCGGACAGGGCTACTATGCTAAATTGCTTTACTGAGCATTTTGTGTCCTGTGGTTCTCTATTTGATTCTGTCACTAACTCTGCTTCTGTGAACACTACAGTATGTGACTCTGAAAAACGTGTGTTGGAAAACCCTTTTAATTTTACCCCTTTTACTGTTGATGTTGTTCGTGAAGCTTTAACCAAGTTAGATCCTAAGAAACCGGCTGGCCCGGACAACGTAGAACCTTTCTTTTTAAAGATAGCTGCAGATTTTATTGCTCCACCTCTCACTACTCTTTTTAACCTCTCCCTCAGCACAAACACAATTCCAAAATTGTGGAAGTCAGCGTATGTCCTGCCTTTGCTAAAAGGAGGGGAGGCCACCTTATTAAATAACTATAGGCCAATCTCTAAGTTGTCAGTTCTGGCTAAGGTTCTTGAACGCCTAGTGAGTGAACAGGTAAAGGTGTT